GGGGGAGTGATACTAAGAAGAACAGTCTCAGGGCTTTGGACGGGTAGGGCCTTGAGCACATTGGAATATGCAAAGAAAGGATACCTGTCAAAAGAAGGAGAAACCTTCAGGTGGAGCCTGCAGGAGAACAATTGTACGCTCTGCCTGAAACCAAGTGGATTACCCCTTCTCTGGGAAGGACCAGGGATGGAGAAGCCCATCAAGCCTAAAACAAACAAGATGGACGCACGTCAGCTGCAGATAAAACCTGTAAAGGTAATGGACGCATTCATTTGTGGAGAATGCAGGATTACCACATTACCTCGAGCAACTATCATCACACAATGGGATATAAGCGGCAAAGGCCCACAAGACTGTGCATGCGAGTGGGATGGCACCGAAGTAAAATACTGTTCAGCCTGTGATACACAGATGGAGGAAGGCCAACTGCTGCACTCTGAGAGGGCAATGGGCTGGCAAGTAAGGAGGTATCACAGTCCCCTCAAATCTTTCAGAGCTCAACTTGATGAAGATGAAACCAGGGCCTCGGAAGGATCCCTGACCGAACAGCAGTATGACCAAGAATTCGTCTACAGTTCTCTAAAAGTAACACCTTCAGCCCCACTACTTTATCCAGAACTAGGAGAACTGGATGGAAGAAGAAGAAAGCGGCAGCACAGGAAGAAGATAAATCCCGGAGAATTGCTCGAGCAGGCTGTACATCAAGCCTGGCCTTATGATTCTTCGAGGGGTAAGAAAAGGAATGCCCCCCTCGGTACTCAGCAGTTTCCCTTAGTTTTTAGAGTACTTCGAAACCAAACAAGCGCAGGGAGCAAAAAAGAAGAGGCGGGTATGTTACCTGACGAAGAAACCGGCGAGGCTGGACAGAAAGGCTGGACAGGGCCCTGGGAATTAACAACATGGGCTCAGCTGATTACGGAAGTAATTATGAACCAGGAAGTCCCCCTAGTGCCCCTGCCAGACGTCCCCCGAGAGACCGGAACCAGATATAATAACTTGTACTATTGTACTACTAGTCTGGATGGATGGGCCAGGCATGAAGCTAAACCCATGCAGAAAACAGTTGAATTCTTGGTAACCCCTGAAGCTTGGGAGAGGAACGGAGTGCTCCAGATCCCCGGAACTGCTGCACAGAGGGCAGGAACGCCCACAAAGCCCGACTCCACCCAGAGGGTTAAAGTTTCCGTGCAGATGGTCATTGCACCATACCAGGGAGTGTACTCGGTCGGAGCTGAAGTATACCCGATCCGGGAAGAAGGAACGTGCCTGGTGGGAGCCACAGCCCACCCAATTAAGGAATACAAAAACTGCTCGGAGGAGTCAGTAGCAAACAAAACTGAGAAGAAAGGACTGAAGAGTTGGGCCAAAAAAGCGTTCCAAGGAAAATGGAAGCATGCGGACAAGAAAGCACGCAAGTAGGAAATAAACAAGGGGTCGCTGGACTCATCGCTGGGAGCAAGAAAAGAAAAGGTAAAGAACCTCTAAGAAAAACAATAAAAGACACGAGCCACATCTGGAGAAAAATAGGACACGTAAAACAAGTTAGGCCTATTGAAACATGTCGTGTTAAAACCAGTGCAATAGCAGCCTTACCAACATGGAAGTATAAAGTAAATGCCTTTAATACTCAGAGTAGCCATACAACTGAAGAAGAAGTGCAGAATATGTTGTTTCAAGCACCCGGAACTGAGATGTACAAACCGGCCCTGCTTGTGAGAGGCCAAGTGGTGGAATTAGACAGACCAAAGAAGGACTTTTCAAACTTCCTGGCAAAAACAAAAAATTATTATAATTCACATCTGCAAACCTTTAGAGAAGCAGATCTCACTAGAGCTAGCCACAGAGTTCCTGGCCTAACCCTGTTAAGTGATAACTTAAAATTCCCATATAACCCTAGTCCGATGGGAACGCCATGGATCTTTAATATGGTCCAAATGGAAATAAAGAATAAATCAGTTACACTCAAGTGGGGACCAAACTATGAAGAACCTCACCAAACAGAATACTGCGAGATTTCGCTGGGAGGACTGATAATCTGGGCTACGAGCCCAACGCTGAGAACGAAAATCAACAAGAGAATAGCGGAACCAGAACGAGTGGTGATTGAAAACACCCAGTTACCCCTGAAAATGTTGTATGATCGAGTCCAAACTCCACTTGACAGGTGGGGTTCACACCCCACACGAGCGGCTAACAGAATAAAAGTATCTTACAGAGGACACCCGCTGATCAGCCTGACAACAGCGCTGACAGAGATGGGAGAAGCCTACGACCAGCATAAGGCCGCAAGAGAGGAGCTGGTGGAGCGAGTAATGGGAGAAGCAATGGAGAGATATGGTGATTGGGATGAGATGATCAGCTATCTTGGCGATCAGCTTGAGCCAATGGAGGGTCCCCTAGGAGAACCCTCTGAGTGGTCAGTCAGACAATGGAAGTGGGTGTGGCGAGGATTAAGACCGGACTTACACCACCCCTCACCGCTCAGTGTAGAACTTTATAAAGGGCGAGTAACAAATAGAGATCCCAGAGGATCTGGAGCCGAACAGCCCGCGCATCCAATCTACCAGAAGACAAGATACCCTAAGCGAGCATGTCTGATTGCACCTTCACCAGGGGCCCCGTACGTGAGGAAGATATTATAGACTCAAAACCCCTTAGTGCTGGAATAACCAACGTACTAATCCAGTGCAGACAAACTGGCTCGACAATACCAGCTTTAAAAACTGCAAAAGACATAATTTGGCTCGATGAACCAGCAATTGACTTCCTCAAATGGGAAGACCCTACGAGAAATTATTTCTACTCCAATCGCCAGTACAAGAGGCAACCTCACCTGGACGATCCCCAAATAGAACAACATTCAAGGCAAGTGTACCTCCCTAGATACGACGCCCAGCTCCAACCTTGCCCACCAACATCCCCATGGATATTTAACGTGGTCTACCTGACCCTATGGGGAAAAGAAATAAAGCTCCGATGGGGACCCAATTACCACGAGCCATACCAGAGCAGATATTTCGAGGTCTCGATAGGGGGAATGATAATTTGGAGTACAAGCCCAAGAATGGTGAAAGCCATCAGAAGACGAACAGATGACCCAAAACGGTATGTGTTTGAGAATCAAAATTTGCCTATAAGAATTATAAGATATCGGGAATATACACCGGTTCACGATTACAGTCCTTGGATAAGAAAGGCGTACACAGTACATGTCCTATACCAAGATAATCCCCTGATAACACAAAAAGAGACATTGCAAGAACATGGTCCAACTGTACTTCAATATTTAGAGGCCCTTTGTAAGGCTCAACGGAAAATAACGGCAGGACCTAACTTTCAACAAAGTTGGGACCTCTACGGACCCCAACCTGAACCCGAAAAATGGCTGGTGACTCAATGGAAATATGTATGGAAAGGACTACAGCCAGAGCTGCCACACCCCTCTCCTATATATCAAGAACTACTTAAGGGACGAGTGTCGACAGCCCGCAGACACTCAAAGCCGAGACATCGAGGACGAAGGAGCAAGGGCCCCTCTCGAAATGATTCACATGAGAAACAGAAACTCCAACAGTGATGATCCAAATAGCGATGATGAAGCGACCCCAAACCGACCCATGGACCGTCAAAGGATTACGATTTTGGATAAAGCAACCTGCCTGCGAATCCTCCTGCGGGGACTCGTAGTGTTAATAGGCTTAGCAATGTTGTTGGTTATCTTATACCAAGCCGGAGTCAGACCCTGGAGCCTGACACATGTGGCAGTTGCCCATGGAAAATCAAAATATGCAGACATGAACTGTTGGGATATCGATACACAGAATATTTCCTTGCCATGGAATTCGGCAAAGAACATCCAGAACCAAATAGCAGCTTGGAATAAATTAAAGAAAGAGGGTCATCAGGCCTGGATGAACAGACTGAGAGTCACAGCAGGATGGAGCGAGGCTTTAATGGCCGGAAACCTAACAGTAGCAGACCATTCCACCGATCCAGAACCTGACGGACCCAATTGGGTCGTCACAAATCTAATGATACTACCAGAGAAAAGAGTCATCGGAATAGCAATTTTGAAAGAGCAGATCAAACGATCAACAAGATGTAACTGGATACAGCCCCAGGACGGAACCCCTGAGTGGCACTGCGATTGGATATGTCGACCGTTGATTGGATTAAAGCATCAAGGCTACTGGGACCGAGAAGTAATTCTTCCGGCCCCACCTAAAAACGACAGCTGCCAGGCAATTCTCCCTCGTCGAGAGTTCTGGGGCGACATCCACTTAGATTGTGACCGAATCCCCCCTCTTATTCAAAGGAATCGCACAGGTAAATACCTGAATTCGACCACTAATAAGGTAATTCACACAATACGTTATGAAAGAACACTCAAGAAAAATGCTACAGACTGGGGATCCAACAGGCGCCCTACACCGCCTCCCCATGCCACAGTTAAGGCCAAAACGAAGCTCCAATTGAATCAGTACCAAATAACAGAGATAAATGGGATAAAAATGATCGCCAGACCTGACCTGATAGAGCAATGTATGAAGACTAAAATGAGTAAGCTACCATATTGTTGTTGGAACCTATTTTCTGAATGCCAAACTCAAAATTATCTACCCATAACTCCCATACAGAATCAGCGTTATTATTACTGGAGTTGGGCAGCCATATTCCACCCACATAATGCCTGGCATGAGAACTGGTTGAATGCGACATTACCATGGGTCTGGATTGCATCTGGGCTGACTCACTTCGAAGGTGACTTCGTGGAGGGGTATGCCAGGACTCATGAGGGCCTCATGGGACCATATTATACAGACATGTATATACAGAAACTACCAAAACCAGATGAGCTTCTCAATGCACCTAAAGGCGATTTTGACAAAATAGACAAATGTGTAGCCGAGCGGATTTTTCTTAGTCTTAACAACTCGGTGTGGCAAAGTAGTGGAGCATCGCCTAGATGTAGATTATGGGAGACAGAGGTCGCCGTTATGTCCACATGGCGATATGACTGCACAGAATTACGTAGACAACAAACGGTTAAAATCTTGCTCCAAGCATGGCATGAATATCATCAACGAGATGACTCTAGAACATGGTGGGGGTTTCAGGAAGAAGAGATTAGAGAATGGGTAGCCCCATGTTTGCAACTTTCAGATAACTACTGGATTAAGTATCAGTATTTGGCCACAGTCTATTCTAAAGAGCAGGATATATGGGCCAGTCCCCTGTATAGACCGGATAGGTATGTTAGTCCCAGACCATGGCACATGACTTGTAATAGGGCAAAAACACAATGTGTCCTTACATTAGCTCGAAGGCCTTGTGGTACGATACCAGGATGGGAAAGCTACTGCAAGAGTTATTATGGATCTGAATACACCTTGCACGCAGCGAAGGTAGTGTGGAAAAAATATAGCGGCAAGTGGAGAAGATCAGTACCTGAGGGTCACTGCGTAGATAAGATATTAGGATATCAGCTTCACGCCAGGAAACAAGTTCAAGGAGTAATAGTCCCCTTTGTCTCAGATTCAATGATAGCTTTAGTAGAGGGCCACGCAGTGAGACGCAGCCTGTGCTTGGGCAATGAGATAGAGGGCTATGAGTGGGTAGGCCCAAATAAAATCTACTCGAATCTCACATGCCAGTATCCAGAGGAAAACTGGAAGAAATGTGGCACACAGGAAGATGAACACACTTGCGCATGGTATGAAACCGTTAGTTACACCGTAGGCCGAAAGGTCACAGAGGTGGTGAAAGGCGTAGGTGAAGTAATCAAAGAGGGTGGAGAAACGGTAGAAGGATGGATAGTTAGTATCTTCCTCAAAGTATGGCCTTATTTGTTAAGTGTAGTCGGGATAGTAGCCGCTGCCTTATTAGGTAAAGTATTCTTACAAGAGTGCCTCAGAGCTGGATGCCGCCCATGGAGGAGGAGCTATAGGCCACCCCCATCAGAGTAGGGTGCGGCTCAACCTTAAATTAGATAAACAGAGAAGCGGCTTAACTCTTACCCCGGGAGCAGTAAAGAGCAAGGATCAGGACAGAAGCAATTCAAAAATCTCTATGGACAATCAAGACGACTGCATGTCTCATACTCCAACCATCGATGTGAGTATTATAGATTGGGAGACAGAAACTACAATGACCCCAAATCTTACCATTTTGTCAGAATGTCCAGCCTATTTTAATGGGAGCAATATAGAATACTTTTTAACAATGGTTGCATGGATGTGCTACTGCCACACCGGAGACTGGAGTAAGGAAAGGTTGATAAGATTTCCTGTAGCAGTTCAGACTTACGCTAGAGTGATAGTTTCCCATGTGATACTCAAACGACCTGAGATATCGCCTCATTTCTTTGTCACTTATCTGTTAGGAAGAATCAAACTCACCTACCTGCAGAAGATTATAATTTCAGCATGGCTAATAGAAGATTCCATAGTGATTAGCCTTGAATGTGCGGCAGCGCTTACTCCGGTACCAATACCAGTCACAAGCTGTGGAGGTACCACAGGGAGAATTGTAGCGACCATAGTCGAAGGGACAGTGGCCGTGACGGTGTTGGCAAATATGCTGTACCAGACAGTATCCTTGCAACCACAAAACAGACGTAAATGGACCAAAAAGTTGGCCATCTTAATTGGATGGGGTCTAGTCTGGGGAATTTGTGCAATAGCCTATTGGGCCAGCCTCTGCACCACAATGCCTATAGTGGTGTGGATGATGACCTATGCCGCTATCTTTAAGCCAAGACCTGATCCAGCTCCCCCTGCACCGGAGGGGAGCGAAGGCCGCAGATTCTCAGGAGGATAATGAGACAAGCCAATCTAACGAGATAATAACAGAAGTAATCAAATAACCAACAACAGCTTTACCCCTCCCCGCCTTTGCTAACTTTTATTAAAATTTTAAAGATTGATTTAGTGTTTAAATGTTATTTTTCTCTCTTTTTATGATTGATTTTATTTTTGAATTATGTGAACTCGAGGTATCATCGGTCTGGTAAATGCTCAATGGATAGCTGACGGCCTGTATAGGCCCAGCAATA